ATGGATGAAACTGGAGCCCATTATACAGAGTGAAGTAAGCCAGAAAGATAAAGACCAATACAGTATACTAACACATATATATGGAATTTAGAAAGATGGTAATGATAACCCTATATGCAAAACAGAAAAAGAGACACAGATGTACAGAGGAAGGCTTTCTTATCTCTCCTTGCTATTCTTTGGAACTCTGCATTCAAATGGGAATCTTTCCTTTCCTCCTTTGCTTTTCACTTCTCTTCTTCTCACATCTATTTGTAAGACTTCCTCAGACACCCATTTTGCTTTTTTGCATTTCTTTTTCTTGGGGACGGCCTTGATCCCTGTCTCCTGTACAGTGTCACGAACCTCCATCCATAGTTCATCAGGCACTCTGTCTATCAGATCTAGTCCCTTAAATCTATTTCTGACTTCCACTGTGTAATCATAAGGGATTTGATTTAGGTCATACCTGAATGGTCTAGTGGTCTTCCCCACTTTCTTCAACTTAAGTCTGAATTTGGGGATAAGGAGTTCATGATCTGACTTCAACAAGGAGCTCATGACCAGCTCTGAGACGTGGGCAAACCCTCCTCTCTCTCGGGGCTTCAGTCTCCCAACATGCAGCATGGCAGGCTACTTTGCAAATACTCTGATGTGGACAGCCGCTTATGCACACCCACCCAGCTTCTGCAAGCCCTCTTCCTGTTGCTAGCTCCCTACTTTTCCTTGAGGGCCTATGCCTTCCCCCGGCTCACTACCACAGAGTATAGATGCAGCCGCCTCTGACGCACATCCCAGGTTCCGGGATGAGTCTAGTCCTTCCAACCACAGTGACTGGTACAGGGACGGGCATGAAAGACAAGCTGACCCAATCAGATGGAATTCTGTGACCTTAGTTGGAGGGACTAGGAAAGAGAATGTGGTGCTGGAGAAGATTCTTGACACCCCTTTGGACTGCAAGGAGATCAAACCAGTCAATCCTAAAGGAAATGAACCCTGAATGTTCATTGAAAGGACTGATGCTGAACCTGAGCTCTGATCCTTTGGCCACCAGAAATGAAGATCCAATTCACTGGAAAGGACCGCGATGCCAGGAAAGACTGAAGGCGAAAGGAGAAAAGCAGAGCAGCGGATGAGATAGTTGGGCAGCATCACCGACTCAGTGGACAGGAACTTGACCAAACTCTCAAGTTTGCTCAAGGCAGGCCTGGCACGCTGTGGTCCATGGGGTCACAAGAGTTGGACATGACCCAGTGACTGAACAACAACGAAAGGAAAGAGACGCTGGTGTCCTGCAGGACTCACTGTGTAGAGAAGGTGTGGCGTGGTCCTGAGAACAGAGCTGAGAGGAGATGGATCCCAGTGACAGTGTGAGCCCCTCAGTCCTACTGAGTGGACTTCCATTTCAGTCAATACATTGCCTCTTTTTGCCTGAAGTAGTTTATATTGAGTTTCTATCACTTAGAATTCTAAAAATTCTCATCAATAAACTCTCCATTGCCCATTGGCTTCTGAAGACCTTTTGATCTTTGAGTCTGAAATAGTTTTATTGCACTATCTCATCCTCTAGAAGCTTCTTTGTACTGGTTTCCTGGCCCTCGTCTATCTCCCTAGAGGCTATGTAGGTGCTTTAAGAGCCGACTGTGTATTCCCTTGGTCTCTTTCAAAGAACCTAGTCCAGAGCAGGCATTTTCATCCATGGACTCATTCCTCCCTTCCCACCCTCTTTCTTTCTTCTTATCTTCTGAGATGGGTACTGAGCTGGGTACTGATTGGGGTGCTGAGCTGAATCAACAGATTCCCTGGGTTCTCCCTCAGCTTATTGGGATAGCTCAGTTGGTAAAGTATCTGCCTACAATGCGGGAGACCTGGGTTCGATCCCAGGTTGGGAAGATCCCCTGGAGAAGGGAAAGGCTATGCACTCCAGTATTCTGGCCTGGAGAATTCCATTGACTGTATAGTCCATGAAGTCACAAAGAGTCGGACACAACTGAGCAACTTTCACTTTCACACGTGAAAAAAGCCAGCCTGGACTATAAATTATCACAGGTGGTATAACAGATAAACATACACAAAAACAGTAATGGTTCTCACCAGAGCATGGTTATTTCTCCATTGGGGAGAGGGGAAAGGCTTCCTAAAGGAGATGGATCTCAAAGGAAGTCCATTTGTTTGCTACATTGTTAGGGGAGCAAGCCACTGAAGGTGAAAGAATGGCATGAGAAATGCCTCTGAGGCATTAAATATGTAAGTGTGTTCAGGGACAGCAACTAATTATCTCATCTGGTTCTAGAGTCAGTTCACTTCAGTCGCTCAGTTGTGTCCGACTCTTTGTGACCCCATGAGCTGCAGCACGCCAGGCCTCCCTGTCCATCACCAACTCCTGGAGTCCACCCAAACCCATGTCCATTGAGTTGGTGATGCCATCCAACCATCTCATCCTCTGTCATCTCCTTCTCCTCATGCCCTCAATCCCTCCCAGCATTAGGGCCTTCTCGAATGAATCAGCTCTTCACATCAGGTGGCCAAAGTGTTGGAGTTTCAGCTTCAACATCAGTCCTTCCANCCTTTTCCAGTTTGGGACCAACCATGACGCTCATGTATCTTCCATGTTCTTACCGCACATTCGATACTAAAGCTCCGTGCAAGCAAGGACACCATCCCCTCCGTGGCTTTGCATCCCCCAGCCCCACTCTCTTCCCAATGCACACTGACTCATCTTATGAAGCCCATTACAACACCACTGTCTCCAGCAAGCTTTCCTCACACTTTAGATCTCACCTGCTACTTCTTTTCCGAACAGATGACATGTTCCCCACTGACTGTCCAGAGACAAGACAGGCCCGACCTCACTCTCAAGTGGACTGTGAACTTCCTGGAAGGCTAAATCCCCACGTCGATATATTGTGGAGGGCAAAGGTGCCAACTCATTTCCATTCTGAGAGCCTTTACACATGATCCTATCCAGAGGCGTTCTCCCGCGTTTTATAAACAGAACTCCTTGAGAGATGCTCACTGTTCACTGACTATGCCCTCAAACTCTTAATCCAATTGAGCACTTGCAGTGGTTTAGTGCATTTTGTACCTGTGGGGTGGGGCAGGGGCAGAGCTGGGGTGCTGGTGAGCCAGAGGCCAGGAACTCTCAAGGACCTACTGAATAGTGGGCACTGAAGCTGTAATAGCTCATTTCATCCTTCCGACCCTTACAGGAGGTATGTGTGATCGGGATCCCACTGTCGAGATGAGGAAATCAAGGAGGGAGGCCTGATGTACTGAAGGCCATGAAGGCAGGAGTTACGACCTTGACCGCTGCCCCCTCACAGAAGGGCCTCTGGCTGGCAGCCTTGGCACCAGAGCCAGCACCATGTTCACAGGCAAGGGCACTTACCACACACCCCGAGGAGTCCACCTGACGGTCAGCCACACACTTGAAGTTGCGCGTGCAGCCCCCGTTGTTCCGAGAGCAGTCACGGACAGGCCCGAAGGAGGACAGCAGGTCGTTGATGGTTTCAAAGTACGTGGACAGCATCGCATCCTCCCTTGGAGAAAAAGGGGACAGTTACATCCCAGAGACATCGGCATCACTGGGTTAAAACTATTTAATGTACATTACTTTTGAGATCATTATTCATCATATGTGTGATCAAGAGAATGATACAAATGCTTATTTAAAAAGAAAATAAGAAGCAAAGAAAACCAAAAAGAAGTAAATTCAGTGGTTATACTATCATATGACATGATGGTTGTTTAGTTTTGATAAAGAGGTATATATTTGGAAAGTTGTACCTTTTATTTCAATAACCCTCATAATTCTTGAAAGTAGACATATGATTTCCATTTTACCAATAAGTGAACTGTGACTGAAAAAGGACAAGTATTATTTACAACAGCCAAGAGATGGAAGCAACCTAAGTGTCCATCAGCAGATGAACGACTAAAGTAGTTGCAGCATATATACATGATGGAACACCACTCAGTCATAAAAAGAATGAAATAATGTCATTGACAGTAGCATGGATGGGCCTAGAGACGGTCATACCTAGTGAAGTAAGTCAAGCAGGGAAATACAAATGTCGTATGGTATCACTTCTGAAATCCAGAAAAAATAAAAATAAAAATGAACTTATTCACAAGACAGAAACAAACTCACAGATGTGGAAAATAAACTTATGGTTACCAAAGGGGAAAGCGGGGGTAGGGATAAATTAGGAATATGAGATTAACAGATACACACCACGACATATAAAATAAATGGCAAGGATTTACTATAGTGTGTAGGGGCTATATTCATTATCATGTATTAATCTATAATGGAAAATAATCTGAAAATACATATGTATATATATAACTGAATCATTTTGTGGTACTCATGAAACTAACATAATACTGTAAATCAATTACAATTCAATTGGAAAAAAAAAAAAAGAAAGGTGAATCGTTCTGCTGACGGCCACCAGCCTGTAACGTGGCAGAGTTAAAAGTCTGTGCCCAGCTCCGTCTGAGTCCAAAGAGGAAGTTCCTCCTACTACACAGCTCTTATCTTGCATTATACATGTTTCTACAGGTTCCAGACATCCCCACAGCAACTCTGTAAAATGGGCACATTCCTAGTGTTCCAACTTTGCAGAGATAAATTGAAACTATGGGAGGGGTGGCACTCACCCCAAATTACACAGCCTATAAACAGCAGAGCCAAGACACAAACATGGAACTCCCTGACCCTGGTACTATATTTTTCAGACTCTTGCCTACAAATCACACCATCAACACCAGTAGCATCAGCTGTTGTAAAGATGATAAGACTCTAGGCAAATGCATGCGTGAACCTCCCAAATGCGGTTCACAATAGAATAAGACTAGATACCATAATCCATGAATCTGCCAAAATTCTATGTGAGGAGAGATAAAAAATGCAAGTTTCTGGATGCTGCTTTCTGGGAAAAGGGCCCCCAAATAAGGACTATCCTAGCCCTGGCTGATCTATGGTGTGTTCATTACTTACAAGAGACTTTATTAAAGCATCACCAGAGGCAGTAAAAAGAGGCACCATCTTCTTCCATGATGTATAACTCATGGAATCCAGAACTAAGAAAGAGGGGAGGTTACACATGTGTTGTACGAGGGGGCCTACTGTGACTGAAAAAGGACAAGTATTATTTACAACAGCCAAGAGATGGAAGCAACCTAAGTGTCCATCAGCAGATGAACGACTAAAGTAGTTGCAGCATATATACATGATGGAACACCACTCAGTCATAAAAAGAATGAAATAATGTCATTGATAGTAGCATGGATGGGCCTAGAGACGGTCATACCTAGTGAAGTAAGTCAAGCAGGGAAATACAAATGTCGTATGGTATCACTTCTGAAATCCAGAAAAAACAAAAATAAAAATGAACTTATTCACAAGACAGAAACAAACTCACAGATGTGGAAAATAAACTTATGGTTACCAAAGGGGAAAGCGGGGGTAGGGATAAATTAGGAATATGAGATTAACAGATACACACCACGACATATAAAATAAATGGCAAGGATTTACTATAGTGTGTAGGGGCTATATTCATTATCATGTATTAATCTATAATGGAAAATAATCTGAAAATACATATGTATATATATAACTGAATCATTTTGTGGTACTCATGAAACTAACATAATACTGTAAATCAATTACAATTCAATTGGAAAAAAAAAAAAAGAAAGGTGAATCGTTCTGCTGACGGCCACCAGCCTGTAACGTGGCAGAGTTAAAAGTCTGTGCCCAGCTCCGTCTGAGTCCAAAGAGGAAGTTCCTCCTACTACACAGCTCTTATCTTGCATTATACATGTTTCTACAGGTTCCAGACATCCCCACAGCAACTCTGTAAAATGGGCACATTCCTAGTGTTCCAACTTTGCAGAGATAAATTGAAACTATGGGAGGGGTGGCACTCACCCCAAATTACACAGCCTATAAACAGCAGAGCCAAGACACAAACATGGAACTCCCTGACCCTGGTACTATATTTTTCAGACTCTTGCCTACAAATCACACCATCAACACCAGTAGCATCAGCTGTTGTAAAGATGATAAGACTCTAGGCAAATGCATGCGTGAACCTCCCAAATGCGGTTCACAATAGAATAAGACTAGATACCATAATCCATGAATCTGCCAAAATTCTATGTGAGGAGAGATAAAAAATGCAAGTTTCTGGATGCTGCTTTCTGGGAAAAGGGCCCCCAAATAAGGACTATCCTAGCCCTGGCTGATCTATGGTGTGTTCATTACTTACAAGAGACTTTATTAAAGCATCACCAGAGGCAGTAAAAAGAGGCACCATCTTCTTCCATGATGTATAACTCATGGAATCCAGAACTAAGAAAGAGGGGAGGTTACACATGTGTTGTACGAGGGGGCCAGTGAGCACCCCTAGTGATGTCTTTGGACCACACCCTTCAGCCTTTCTCCCAACCTTCCGCTTCTTAGGCTTGGAGCTCCAGGCTTCAGTCTCCCAGCTTCTTCCCTGACTCCAACCTTACCCTGTTCTGTTCCATTTTTCATCCTGACTGCCAGTGAACCTGTAAATTTCAGCTCTACCTAGATACCCTATGGGGCAATAGGTCTCCATTATTTCTAGAAGAAAAACTAAATTAGTTTCATTGGCATTCAAGGTCTTGCATAATCAGGTTCCCGCCTACCTGACTGGCTACATTTTACTTTGTCCTCATAGTCCCCATTCCACAGCCACAGCTTTCTTCTCATTCTCTAAACACACAATCTGAGGTCAGGTTCCCTGCGAACACATCCTGAGACAGAGTGCTGCTTATAGGAGGTTTATTGAGGTGCCCTCCTGGGACACAGGGAACCAGCAGGGTGTGACTGGGCAGCGGGAGGCGGTCCTGCCATGTGGTTGATGCCACGTAGATCTGCCACCTCGGTGGTCGTGAGGGGAGCTCTGAGGCTGGAGTGGCCCTTTAAAGACATCCAGAATGGAGGCAAGGGACCCTGCCTCCTGCATCACCTCTGCGTCACCCCATCACCGGCTGCCACGTGGAAGGCTCTGCGTCACCCCATCACCGGCTACCATGTGGAAGGGGTGTCCTTGGGGGCGGCAGCTCCTTGTGGCCAAGGTAACGCCCAGTGAGGGACAGAGCTGTGAGCCTCAGCCACATCCCAGAGGATGGGCAGGTCAGCCCTGCAGAGGGGCTCTGAGTGCGGGGTGTACCTTTACCTTCCTGAATCCTCGACCACGCTCTTCTGCCTGGGATGCTCAGCTCCAACTTCTCTCCCCCACAGAATCCTAAGGATCCTTAAAACCATGTGAATTTATTCGTCCATTCATTCATCCTTATATTACACACGTTTTCTGAGTGCTGACTATGTACCGGGGGCCATTATAGGTACTAGGAATACGGCACTGACACTGGACAAAGTCCTCACGTCCGATGAGCTCACTGTGACCTCCTTTGTGAAACCTTCTCTACATCCCCCAAACAGAATCAATTCCTTTTCGCTTTGAGTCCATTGTTTAAATCTATTATCTTATTGATCTTCATCACCAACTCCATAGTTTCCCAAAGAGACTGTAAGCTTCTTGAGTGAAAGGCCCAAGGCTTAGTCATCCCTTTTATTATTATTTTTTTAATGTTTTATTTTATATTGGAGTATAGCTGGACTTCCCTTGTGGCTCAGCTGGTAAAGAATCCGCCTGCAATGCAGGTGACCTGGGTTTGATCTCTCGGTTGGGAAAATCCCCTGAAGGGAAAGGCTACCCACCCCAGTATTCTGGGCTGGAGAATTCCATGAACTGCAGTCCATGGGGTCGCAAAGAGTCCAACACAACTGAGCGACATGCACTCACTCACAGCTGATTAACGATGCTGTGACAGCTTCATATGGACAGCAAAGGGACTCAGCCATACACATACATTATTCATTCTCTCCGCAAACGACTCCCCAGTCCAGGCTGCACATTGCTATATTTAAAACGGATAAGCAACAAGGACCTACTGTACAGCACAAAAGCACGAATAACTCTGCTCAGTGATATGGAATCACTCCTCTTTAGCCCCCAGCACACAGCCTGGTAGGCACCTGTGCTAAGTAGATGTTTGGCAAGTGAAACAAAGCTGTTACCAGAAGGCAAGGACGCGACCACCGCCAATCAGTGGTTTTACCAAGATTATGTCCAAAGAGGACACTCCCCTGCCTAGCCCCAACTCTGGGTTTCCACCCTAAGTCCCTCATGCTCAGGGCTGTAGTAGGACAAAGAAGAATAAGCAAGGAGGAGAGCCGCCAGCTTATCTATCACTTCCCAACTTTGTACAGAGTGAGGTCAAGGTGGCAGGTGGATGGAGGGAGACAATTAACAGTCCCTGAACCCATGCTCTTGGGAGCCTCCCACTTCTGAATCATAGAGTTGGGAATCCCAGAAAGACATTAAGGGTATTAAAATATTAATATCCTTAGCAGAGGAAGAAGGATGATACGTGAGGGGAGGAGATAAAGACAGAGAGAGAGAATTAGAGAAAGTGTGAGAGCAAGAAAAGAGAC